CGTGATTTTCGTAAATACCCTCATGGATTTCCTTCAGGATGCACTCAACATTCTCATAATCAACACATCGCAAGAGCGGGGAGTTATATTCTCACTTATACAACTTGTCATTGGTAAGCGTATATCGAACTGATTTTGCTCGAAGGGTCTTGGCTTCATTTCTTCCCTCGGGCATTGTCCAATTTCTCAAGTATGCAGTTATCGCATCCATTCAACTGTACCTTTGTCCTCTTACCAAGACTGATTCTTATGGTGTTAGGATGCTTAGACTCGGGAGGAATTTGATAGGAATGGAGTTGGTTGTTTCTTTGCTTATTGCTGAAGCTAAGCGAGCTAAGGCATTGGCCATTGAATTCTTCTTCCTTGGAATCTATAGAACAGTGAAAGTCTTAAATTACTTGAGTTTAGATTTTACCTTTTAGAGATAGGACGCCATTCTGTCATCTTTTGCCTAATATTCTTCAGAAATTTGGTGGACCATGAGCTAGGAGTCACTGTAGATTTTGATTGACTCTACCCCCATTTATTTGGCTAGATAGATCCCCGTGGGCATAGCCTCATACTCTACCTCATTGTTCAAGGAAGCAAACCCAAACCTGACTACAACTTAGACTGGATTCCCTTCGAGACTTTTGAGTAAGAGCCCACCTCCCACCTCCCACCTCCCACCTCCCACCTCCTTCTCATTCAAGGACCTATCCACGTACAAAGTCCACTGCCATAGGCTGTCGAGCTTTGGCTTTACTGACTTGTTTCTTTCGAGGTGCCAACTTCATGCGGGCTTATCACCCCCTTGGGTTGGTACAAGAACTCTGAGATAAAGTCAACCCAAGCTTGTCCCTTTATTATGATTCTCGGCATATACTTGATGTCGTGTTGACTTAGCTCCATAGTCTACTGAATTAATCTACCCAACATCTCAGGCTTTTGCATTATTTTCCTCAGTGGAAAGTTAGTAAGGACATGTATGGAGTGTGCTTGAAAATAGGGTCGCAACTTTTAAGTGGCTGTGATGCTTGTATAAGCGAGCTTCTCTATCTCTAGATACCTTGTCTCAACATCGAGCAACCACTTGCTCACGTAGCACACCGGCCACTACACTCTTCCTTTTTTGCGTATCAAAGTTGTGCTGATCGCAGACTTAGATACCGACAAGTACAATAATAAGGGCTTGCCTAGGATGGGCTTTGACAACAAAGAGGTTGTCCCAAGTGCCTCTTCAACTCCTGGAATGTTTTCCTGTACTCATCTATCCACTTGAAACCTTTGTTGCCTTTTAAGGTTTCAAAGAAAGACAGACACCTGTCAGTAGCTTGAGAAATGAACTTGCTTAGTGCGGCTACTTGCCCTGTCAAACTTTGAACTTGCTTTATAGTAGCCGGACTCTACATGTTCAAGAGAACTTGAATCTTGTCTGGGTTGGCTTCAACACCTAACTGATTTACTAAAAAGCCCAAAAACTTCTTCAAGCTAACTCTGAAAGTGCACTTTAGAGGGTTTAGTTGCATTTGGTACTTTCTTAGGATACTAAACATTTCCCCTAGTGCTCGATGTGGCTTTTGACGACTTTTGACTTGACGAGCATGTTGTCAATGTACACCTCCATGGTTTTGCCAATTTCTTTAGCGAACATCTGATTCACCAAACGCTAATAAGTGGCTCTAACGTTCTTCAAGCCAAATGACATAACCCTGTAACGATAAATACAATAGTCGATAATAAATGAGGTATGTTCTTCGTTGGGTTGATACATCGGGTTTTGATTATATCCCGAGTAAGCATCCATGAAGCTTAGCAGTGCGTTTCCTGCTGTCGCATCTACTAATTGATCGATCTTGGGCAGCAGAAAGTTGTTTTTAGGCAAGCCTAGTTCAGATCAGTGTCCGCCTCTTGCCATTCGACTTTTTCACTAGGACTGGATTGGCGAGCCAGTCTAGGTACTTCACTTCTCGAATGAAATTGATGTTCAGGGCTTATCAACTTCATTCTTGAGTGTTTTAGATTGCTTAGCATCCATAGATCTCATTTTCTGTCTTATTGGTCGAGCCCCTAAGTCGATGTTCAATCTATGACATATTACTTTGGGGCTGATCCTCACTATGTCTGCATGTACCCAAGCAAACATGTTGAGGTTTTTCTTTAGGAACCCCACAAGATTGTTTGCTAGCTCGTCGCTTAGAATGCTCCTAATTTTTAGCACGCGAGTTGGGTCTTCATCACTAACATGTACTTCTCGCAATTCCTTTGTAGGCCCTACTACGAGCTCCTCTTTGTAGATGCGAGGATCTATGGTGTCTTCCAATGGTCCGCGCTTTGGTTCGAACTTAGCGATGACCATGGTCTTGAGAGTGGTCATTTTTGTGCAGCATGAATGACTTGTTTGTAGCACTCCATTGAATCTTTTCTACAACTTCTGATCATTGCGATTCTATTTGAAGGTGGGAATCTCATTGCCTGGCAGCACACTGAGGTGATTATGCTTAGGTCGTCCAGGATCGGCATCCCCAAAATGGCGTTGTATGTGGTTGGGCAATCGACCACCAAAAACCCTGCTATCACTGTCCTTATATTAGGCTTTTCCCCAAGAGTCACGAGCAACTCGATTGTTCTTGTGGGGACTAAGCTATCCTTGGTAAATCTGTATAACGATGATGGACATGCCCTTAGGTATCGTTCGGTGAACCTTAGGGATGGATAGTTTCGGGTACCCTGCATTTTTCGGGGGAACCGGAATCGGAACCGCACAAAGTAGGTTCCCAAAAAAAGAATCGAAACCGCATAGTGCATGTTCTTAAATTCGAGGAACCGGAACCTAAAATGCAGGTTCCGGTTCCTTTCCCAGGTACCCTATAAAAAGTCAATTACCCCCTATTAGTTTAAAAAATGACAAAAATACCTTAAAAATTTACAAATACACCCGTAAAAAATTTTGATTACTCATTTATTTGTATCCAATGTGACTCATAAATCCTCTAATCTCTACGCAACACTTGAATTCAATCAATTCATCACAATTCACAAAAATTCCTCAATCAAAACCAAAACACAAACAATTAATTAAATTAATTAAATATTCATACTATAAATCTATAATTTAATATTATAATTAATTAAATTTATAATCATTTAATTAAGTATTGTACTAATGTTTATAATGGAATATTATAATTAATTAAGTAATCATACTATAAATCTATAATGTAATGTTATAATTAATTAAATTTTTAATCATTTAATTAAGTAATGTATTAATGTAGTAAATTACTAGTGTTTATAATGTAATGTTATAAATTTATAATTAATTAAGTAATCATTTAATTATGTAATGTTATAAATAATTAAGTGATTATAATATAATGTAATGTTATCATCAATTAAGTAATTATTTAATTATAATATAATGTTTTAATTAATTAAATTTCTAATCATTCAATTAAGTATTGTACTAATGTTTATAATAGAATGTCATAATTAATTAAGTAATCATTTAATTAAGTAATTATACTATAAATTTATAATGTAGTGTTGTAATTAATTAAATTTCTAATCATTTAATTAGGTATTGTGCTCATGTAGTAAATTACTAATGTTTATAATATAATGTTATAATTAATTAAGAAATCATTTCATTATGTGATGGTATAATTAATTATGTGATCATACTATAATGTAATGTTATAATGAATTAAGTAATCATACTATAAATCTTTAATATAATATTATAATTAATTAAATTTCTAATTTTTTTAATTAAGTATTGTATTAATGTTTATAATAGAATGTTATAATTAATTAAATAATCATACTATAAATTTATAATGTAATATTATAATTAATTAAATTTCTAATAATTTAATTAAATATTGTGCTAATGTAATAAATTACTAATGTTTATAATATAATGTCATAATTAGTTAAGTATTCCTTTCATTATGTAATGTTATAATTAATTATGTGATCATACTATAACGTAATGTTATAATTAACTAAGTAATCATACTATAAATCTTTAATGTAATATTATAATTAATCATTTAATTAAGTATTGTACTAATGTTTATAATGAAATGTTATAATTAATTAAGTGATCATTTAATTAAGTAATCATTTGTTTATAATATAATGATATAATTAATTAAGTAATTATGTTATAAATCTATAATGTAATGTTATAATTAATTAAGTAATTATGCTATAAATCTATAATGTAATGTTATAATTAAATCAATTTCTAATTATTTAATTAAGTAATATACAAACTTACTAATGTGATATTATAAACTTAGAATTAATTAAGTCATCAGTTAACTATATTGTAATGTTATAATTGATTAAGTAATCATTTAACTAGTAATGTATTAATGTTTATTAATTTATTTTATATAATTAATTAATTACTAATTTACTACAGATATACTTAGAACTTGATAATTGAAGTAAATAATTAAATATTATATTATTATTCAATCAAATATACTATTCTCTTAAAAAATAATTCTTTTAATAACATTAAAATACTTTAATTGGCCTTCATTCCAATTATACACTTAATTAATTAAAACTTTAATATTAATATGTTATAATATATTAAAGTTTTTTATATGGTGTAGTTTATATATAATAAGTATAATTGTATATTTATTTAATTAGGTTATTGTAAAAATTTAACTTTGCCATTTTAATTTTTTTATTGTAAAATTACAATGGACCCCCTATTCTTCATATATATTTTATTTCAGCCCAGGTTCCAAAATAGGGTACCTGTTACAAGTTCTAAGCAGGTTCCAAGCCGGGTACCTGCTGCAGGTTCTTTTTTCCAGGTTCCAGTTCCGGTTCCTCCACATGAAGGAACGGGAACCAGAACCGCAAAGTGTCGGTTTACCAAAAAAGTGGAATCGGAACCTACTTGCACAGTGTCGATTCCAAGTAGGTTTCAGTTTCGGTTCCGGTTCTACCCGCTACGCCTGTTCACCCCTAGTGAACCTTATTTCTCGGAAAGCTCATAAGAAGATGATGTTCGTTGCACTACCGTTATCGACCATTACCCTGACTATTCGAGCATTGTCTATCCTTGCTGTGATTATAATTGCATCATGGTTGTGGCGAGGAGATTGGTCACATTCTTCATTGGTGAACCCTATCACCTCGCTTTTTATCTTGAGCCGCTTTTGCTCACAATTCATTACTCGGGGGATTGAGTTTGTCCTGGCCTCCCACGCATATTGCTCGCGAGAGTGCCTGAAGCTCCCTACAATGTTGGGTCCCCCATAGATCATACCTAACAACAAATCGTTGTTCACCTGGTTTTTCTTGATTTGATTAGTCTGTTCGCCTAGATTTTCTCGAGTTGGCTCTTCCTTGACAAATTCTTTCAGATGACCTCTTCTGATTAGGTCCTCAATGGTGTCTTTCAGAGCCTTACACTCGTTAGTGTTGTGCCCTATATCTTGGTGGTACCTGTAGTAATTCTGATGATCTCTTCCGCCCAATGCCCCCCTCATTTTTTTTTTGGCACAAGTAACCTTCTAGCCTTAGTAAAGACCTTACAGATGTGAGCTACGTCTTGTGTTAGGGGAGTGTACTCTACATACCGCAGAAAATGTTGTCTTTCCTCACAAGATTTTGTTTTCTGCTTTTTTCTGGAACCTATTTTGGTCCTTATCACTATGGTCCTTGCCCCTTCTTTAGTCGGTTAGGCGATCTTATCACCTATCATAGGCCTTTTTGGTTGAGCTTCTTACTAAGGCAACCAGTGAGCTTTCTACTCGCTGATGTTTGACGGCCATTTGATGGAACTTGACCAAGTTCACATGATCTTTGCTTTGAAGCTCTTTCCATAGCTCTGTTTGCAGCTTTATTTTTGTTATAAGCAAAGTCCGGATTGATTCCTCAAGTTCATCCACGACTTTTGCTTGTTCGTTCTGGAACCTCGTCAAGTACAAGGTTAGAGTTTCGTCTCTTTCTTAACGAATATTATTCAAGTAGTTAAGCAGCATTGTGAATTATTTCTTTGCTTGGAATTGTTGTAAGTACAACGAGGAGAACTGTTGTCAAGACTGTATTGAGTTCGCCTTGAGCCTCTTATACTACCTCTTGGCATCCTTTGCTAGAATGACCATGAAACAACAACACTTTGCCAAGTCAGAGACTTGATGTAGCTCCATCAGGTCGTTGAGAAAGTCAAGGTGGTCTCTAAGATCTTCTTTCCTATCGAACTTGCTCTCTAGCGCCTTGAATCCCTAGGGAAACGGGGCTTGACATACTTCCTCTATGAATGGAGAACTTATTATTTCTTCTGCCGAATTATTTTGGCAGGCTTTGAGATTGTCGAGCATCTTCTGCACTCGATCTAAGTCTTCTCCATGAGGAATATTCTGGTTACGAGCTCCATTTAGCCTTACCTCGAGTAGGTGAGTTCCAAGATCAGTTACTTGTGAGCCTACTCTGTCGTATGCATTAGTGCATAAGGTGGAGTCATGATGGCTAGGATAGTAGGTGCTATCATGCTCTTTAATACATTGTTCGCGACGTTGGTTAAAACCAGAACATCGGTTGTTACCAGATTGACATGCATGGCTAGTCTCACGAGTCTACGAGGGTTAAAATCGGCACACTAGCGTTGGGTATATCGTCAAGCAGGTCGAGCATCCCGTGGGAGACCATTGCCTTCATTCTCCCCCATGGGGTGCTTGCTCAATCGCCTCTTAGGGTTAGTTTGCCTGCGGGACTCACGCTCTTAAGCGGTGGGTGCCCTGTGATGTCGAGGGTTTTAGTTGTTCCTCGATGTCGACAAACCTGATTGGTCGTTGGTAGAGTCATTCCTTCCCGGGGGAGTAACTTCTGTGAAGCGTGGCAAGTCGGGGTTCTAGTTGGCTGTCTACTCATTTTTTATCTCAGCCATGTTTTGTTGCACCGCCTGTGCAACCATCGCCCTTATCATCTCCATCAGCTAGCCATTCTCGGGATTAGACATCCCTGCCCAGCTGATTTGTGACCTGTTTTGCCGACGGTATTGGTGGTCGACGTGCAGCAACGTCTTGATGCACCTCCTGGTCAGTGGCCTTCACACGGTCGTGGTTTCCAGTGGTGGTTTTAGATTTGGTACGAACCATTGTAAACTTCGAGTGATCCATTAAGATTGTTTACCAGAAATTTTGAAAATAGGCAGGGGCCCTCCTTCTAGCGCCAAAATGTTGATGCAAGAATTACACCAACTAGAGTGATTCGATTGACCTTAGTGGAATCGGAATAGATGTGCGCGTGATTAAGAATAATCAGTAATGTAATATGAAAGAAATCAAAATAAAGCAAAGAACACAATCAATTTTTAAAGTGGTTCAGCAAGTTGTAAGCTTGAGCCCACTTCCATTTTATTTCTTATTACTCAGAGAGCTTACAAGAAATAATAATAATAATACCTAAAACAATTTACTAACCCCTCTCCCATCGTTGGAGGGGGTTCATATACAAGTTTCTTGCAAAGGAAAGAACATAATTAAAGGAATTATAATCAAGATGAAAGTGCAACTCCGATATTCTCACGATGGGCACTAAGATCGTGCTATCATTACTGTTGATCTGATCTTTTCCGAGATATCCAGGATCTGAGCCTATCAGTAATCTGTCAAACAATTGTCAGGATAAGTCACGATGAGCTTATGTTGGGTCAAATTATATCTCGATAGAGCTTATGCTGGGTCAACTAGTTTTGAGCCGAGCTGATTCTGGGTCGAATTGTAACCTTGCAAAACTCTGACTTTTCTAAGCTTAGTGGAAAAATCACACTCAACACTTATTCACCTCCTCTTGGAGTATTTGCCATGGTTTTACATTTTTTAATCAAATAATTTGAAAATTTTCATTTTAATTTAAGTGTGAAAATGTAAAATGATGGAACAATAGAATATGTGGTTTATACTACATAGAGACGTGCATGCATCGACAATTGTAAAAATAAATGGTAGCTCTACTTTTTTTAAGCTTGCAAAAGAAATAATAATAATAATAATAAATTCCGTTACATTAATCACATTTGTTTGACTTTTCGTGATTTCCGTTACCAACTTTTAAAATTCTTCTCGCTCTCTCTCTCCCCATCACCGTTTTGTTTAAAACAAAATCAAATCTTCATCTCTCTTAGAAATAGAAGAGAGAGCTATAGACCCATCCCTCCAAGAAACCAGAAGACTCTCATTCCCAATTTCTCATTTACACAAAGAACATTTAAGACACACACACATACATTCACATACACACCTTTTCTTTCGCTTTCTCCTTCTCTTTTACTTTCCTTATCTTCAAACCCTTTCTTATTCAAAACCTTTTCAAATTCTTTACCATCTGATCCTTCTCACCGTTCTTTTCGAATCCTCAAATCTTTTCTTATTCAATTGAATCATAAAATTTCAAAATGGTCCCCATATTTTTCTAAATTTCAATTTAGTCTCAATTCCCGGTTTTGGTTCTAATTCTTTAAGGGGTGAAACCGGAACTGAAATTGCACAATGCCAATTCCATTTTTTTAGAATTGGAACCTATTGTCACAGGATCGGTTCTAAGTAAAAATTGGAACCGAAACCCAGGTTACTGGCCAGTTCTTTTGCACACCCCTATTTTGTAGTAATTAACCTTTTTTGAAAAATATCACAAAATTATCTCATAAATAACTTTTTAGCTAAGCAATTTTATAAGGAAAATTATTTCCTGGGAAGTCCAGAAATTCTTATATATTGTAAATAAAATAAAATTCGTGCGAACTCTCTATCCATGGTCAGCATCATTAGTTGACTAATCATTCATAAATAATTTTATTTATTTAAAAAAATACAGATGTCGATAAGAAAGAAAATATACGTATATAAATTTGCTAATAATCAAACTTTATAAAAGATTGAATTATTAATAAAGCTGATGAATTGGAACTCACATACATAATCTTGAGATTCCTTTAGATGTTAGACGTCTCTCGATAAATGGTAATTATCTCAATCAATATATATTATGAAAAAGATAAATAAATATATTTTTTGGGTAATTTTTCAACTCTTCTTTCATAATCAATATCTTGTTAGAATTTTCACAGATAAGGTAAATTGATTGATGAAAAATGTTTGCATGTAAGTTTTCCAAGTCACGATAACACGACTTTATGGAAGCATATAATAATATGATACCTATCAAAACCTCAAACTAATGGTAAGTCAAAATGCGTTTAACTACTTTTAGGTAGTTGAGTGATTCGTAAAGACTTTTTAGTATATTACTTAAAAGGTCTTGAATTCGAATTTCACATCGGTTGCTAATAAGAATTAAAAAAATATATATATATGTTTAACCAAAACTCTTTCAAATCTCATCTCTTTCGAGAGAGAGTATATTAATGAATTAAAATTTTAATCTACTCTTTTATATAATTCAATGCATCTACATGCAACAAAGTCTCTTTCAAGATTGATTTATACTCTTTTGCTAGAGTAATTAAGATAGTGATATCAACAAATTAAGCTTTAATCAAATAGCTATTTCTTTTATGAAGTTGTCTCGATTAAAAGTTATT